GCAAAATCAAGCATACATGCTGCTCGCACCAGCGGCGGCTGGGAGTTGATGAAAACATTCGTGACAACCCCATCGCCGTGTAGTCATACAGACCGCATGCGTCAAATAGAGTACCAAATACGACTCAAATTTTAGAGCACGAGTTTAACTTATAGTGGCAGAGTGACATGGATAAGGATGAATGAACATCAGAACTTAATCCAAACACGCGGCTGATAGGCTGATTTTTGTAATGTGCCGTCGGACATGGGAATGTTTGATAGCCAAATAAACCAATAAACAGTGAATGGGTAGCAGGGAACGAAAGCGATACAGCTTCCATGGCCTACCCAATGAACAAAAAAGTGAAGGTAAGAACCCTGAGGAAAGTATCATGTTCAATATTAGTGGGCGGGGCGCATAACACACCCAAGTAGCAATAGTTAGTACAAAGAAAGACCGGAGAACCTCCGTATTTAATGGTTGTTGAAAGCACAGTTAGGAAAAAATAAAAAATACTAGTCAAACCCAGACGCGCTTCTTCGATCACGGCCTCAGCGGCAGTGTTAATTGAATCTGGGTGGGTAAAAGGGAAAGTACGTCGCAGATACTTCTCGCGGTGAGGACATGCGCGCGCGAGACGGAGGGAGGGGGCACGAAGACTCCTCTTCTTCAGGCCGTAATCCGTAGTCAGTGAATTAACGCACACTCACACGCGTTAAATGCGAGTGCAGAGGTATATGAAAGACGTATGGGGGCACAGAACGCAGCAGTATATATATATATATATATATATATATATATATATATATATACTGACTGTCCAGCGCTGTTAGGCTGCCAATTTGTGCCGTCTTCGCTCTCGTCGAGCCGCCTCGGCAGCGATGTCTTCTTCGTCTTCCTTCGCACCCAGTCGAGCGCTGAAATATTTAGGGTAGGAAAATTCACCCAGCTAGGTACGGCATACGGGCAAGCACAAATTACACGGCACTCCTAGGACGCGAGTTGGGCTCGATTACTGCTGTAGCCGAGAATGGGGATAATTGTTAACATTACTGCCATACGGAGAAATATGAAAATTACATAAACAAGATAAACTGGATGGCCTATACCATACCTTCACGAAGTGAATCACTAAGACACTGGTGTAAGTGCTCCCTCTAATCCTAACCATGGTTCTAACGTTAACCCTTTCAACCATAATCAAAATTCGAACCCTAACTTGCCCTGGGATTTGGTTTAAGGTCACCCCTAGTGCGAGGGAGTACTTGTAAGCGCTCTCTACCAGTTAATCATCACAGAGAGCTAAAAGGTAGGGGGATAATCTTGGATCTAAATGAGGACTAAGAACAAATAAAACGCCATAGTAATCGAAAAATAAAGCGTAGAGTTGTAGGGAAGAAAGTTGGTGCAAGATATAGCATCCTGAGACGAATTAAGCTTCAGTGAGCTACTAGAAAGCGAGCAGGGTTGAGGATTAGTAGAACGCATGACAGAATAGCCACGTACTTAATAATAGGAAGTAGCTTCCTTGGTAACGATCAGTAGATAGCTAGTTTCTGAAATGGTTACTGTATTTTCCGCACTATCGGGCGCGCTGTCAATGAACCGTTTATTTTCAAACTTTTTTCTTAGATAAAGTGCACCACAATATAAGCCACATTAAAGGAAACAAGACATTCAGAGAAGTTAGTCAGTCAAACTTTACTGAATGCATTCACAATAACTTTTAAAGGCCGTTAAATGCGTCTTGTAGTCGGTACTCGAAATCCTCGTAATAAATTAGTCATGCGGTAACAGAAGGAACGGTAATTAGTGGTGAAACTTTTTCTAGACAATTAATCCTACTTAAATTCGCCTTAAGTATCAAATCCCCGAGTTGGATTTCATCGTGGCTCACATGAGCCCATGGAACAATCAAACTGTCGGTGAAAATAACTTCGGCCACCATCTAAATCAGCGTCGAGGTTAAGACTAAATTAACTCAACAATGGGAATCCAACAAAAAGCACATAAGGGTTTACAAAAAAAGATTAGAGATGATGTCATGAAACTCCTACCTAATTCTTTCCTCCTTTTCTATTTGCCGGAAATTGGACTCCATACTGCTGAGATCGTCGTACCGGCTCACATTCGCATATCGCTTGGGATCGAAATTCAATGTCTTATGGATTACTTTAACAAATCGAGAGTAATCCTTCGCGTCCATGGACTCGCTGTCGTCAATGAAACTGTCGTCACTAGCGTAGTCGTCACCTTCGTCACAAGAATAGTCGTCAGGGGAACGAGTTCGTGATGTCTGTAGAGGCAGAGATCCAAACTGGGCAGCAATCCCACAGACAGGAGCACCCTGCTGGGCAGCTATTCCTCGAGCAGAATGAGACGGTAGTTGAGACTTAACCCTATGATCAGGTAAGTTGGGCTTTTGTGATGACGGTGAGCACGATTTGGTAGAAAGAGGTTTTTCATCATTTGGCTTTAAAACACGGTGAACGGTTGTCTTCTTAGACATCGTGGGCAACTCTGAATGAGAAACCGAACCATTTTGTTCGGTGGGTAGTTTGGAAGATTTTTCCATAGTCGCTCCACTTGTAGAGGGCCTCGATGTGCATGTAGACGGGGTCCTGTCCTTACTAAATGCTGGAGACGAGTGCGCTCTATGAGGAGTTCTGATTCTTTTCTCCAGCCCAGGAAGGGCCTTGGAGCTGAGCTGCGCAGCAATTCCAATGGGTTCTTTGGGCGGTTGTTGAGTTTTGACCGAAGAAATTTTACTTGACAAAGACTGACCTGTCTTTGGGACTGTTATCTTTGAAGTCCCTAACTGAGCAGCAATACCACCATTCTTGGGTATTTTATTTGAGAGCTTAGGAGGGCCATCTTGGGTCCTGTTTGACGACAGAGAAGGTCGGGCGGTCAAAGAATTAGACTTGTGGATACTAATTGAGGATTTATGAAGGCTCCCTTGGGTTTTGTTTGACGATAGAGAAGGTCGGGCGG